TTGGTACTGTACACAGAACTATAATGAGTTTATAAAAAAGAACGTCGTATTTTTGCAAATTTAAATATCAATTATGACGCTATTCAAACGTTCTCCTGCCATAAACCTACAAATAAAAAAGATTGGTTACTATATACTATCTATACTTGTACCCATATATGTGGAACACCTTTTTCCAATCATTGGTCAAAACGATTAACAATTTTGATATTAGTATGTGACATTACATATTTGCTGTTACTTTACCATACTTGTTTATCTTTTATGTCTCCGATTAAAAAACCGGTTTTAGATTCAATTAACTTACCGACCCTTTCTCGCCAATTACGTTAGCAAGGTCAATTTCGTTCTCCGGCCAGAGACAGGCAGGTCTCACCCAATCGGAGTAGGTGGCTGCTTCTCTCAGTTCTAGGATGCCTAGGTCGCGGCTGTACGCTGACGCGTTGTAATCCGGATGGACTTTTATGTCTGACACCTGTATAATATAGAGAAATATAAGTAAATGTTTTTTCACCTCACTAGCTGGGAAAAGCTTTCTTCCTCATTAGAAAACTGCGCGCAAAAGCGTTTTAAAGGTTTTTGCAATTCGAACTTGATGATGGTCTGTGGTGCACCTAACTTTTTAAAAATATAATGAGACGTTCGACTACGCGATTTGTCGTACAGTATTTATGTAATATAAATCCGTTGTATATTTTATTCTTATTATTGTTGACATTAAATTGACAACGATAACTAATTCTGTTTATTAGAACTGATTTGTTCTACGGTTTTTCTTACATCTACCATTTTCCTCGCTTTAGTGATGTGAAAAGTTGGGTGCTAAAACTTTCGGCGGCAAAGTTGTTTTGCATCTCGAGGCTTGAAACCCTCGCCACGCTCAGGATTCTATGTGTGAACCACTCAGGTTTTCCCTTAGGTTTCAATACAAGCTCTCGAGTCAAACAACAACTTTGCAGCCTTGCATAACAAATATGTATAGCACAACGTTGTCCTCCTGTTCTATAAGTAGCTCAGTATATGTCCGGCTTAAAATAATAATGGCTGAGTGAAGAATAGTAGGTTTTTTATCGAGGGATTAAAACAAGTCAATAAATATCCGAGGTGTCGTAGGTTTTGGTACTTGGTGTAATGGGCTTATGTCCGCAACTGGACGTCAATGTGCCTATTTTAGATGTCTATTACTTTAGCTTTTAGTTTTGAGGTGAAAACTTTTCACTTCGATTGCGCGAAAAAAAAAATCAACCGCTTACGCTCTACAACAAAATCACAAACCAAAATTCTGAAGTCACCACGGTATTTTTTTTTTCAACCAGACACAGATTCAAGAAACGCAATAAAACTCCACTACTAGCGGTCTTTGGCAATCAAGAGCGTCTTTCGAACGATTTAAGTGCTACATCTCGTCACTGAAATGGTCCATACACAAATGCATTAAGGCGAGAAAATAATAAGGCGCCACCGTCTATGCGGAAAACGCATAGAACTAAAACAGAGCGTAGTCTTAGAACCTAACGTTTTCGTAATGAAAATGGTCCACACGCAAGTACTTTTTTTGTTGAATTTCCGCGTGCAGCGGTCTCTGTGCAACTGTACGTTTGTTTACTGTTCAATTATAATGTCTTTTTTCTTTTTGTGATTATTTTCGTGTGTTGTTTTAATTGTAATCACGTTATCTCACCTAACGAAGTTCTTGAAAATTTGGATTTTATAGATTTTCATGGATTAGGTTTCATAGATTTCTCACAGATGGCGCTACGGCAAAAAGTCTTTAAAAATCAGAAACAAAGATGTGCAGCAAACACATGGAAAAAGTTGGCACGACATGACATTTGCTAGGAGGCGTTGCTTTGAATCCAGCCGGTTCTTTGTTTCTTGTTTACATGGTACTTGGTGTAACGCGTCGGTGTTCGCAATTCGACGTCACGACGATCTTTATTTAATTAATTATTGTTAAAATATTTACTAGCTGTGTCTACCACACACACACACACACACACACACACATTCTCATAACTTAAGTTAAATATAATTAGCATTATAACTGTCTTTCCCTCTATTCATCTTGGTTTTATCTCGTCAATGTTCACTAATTTTTAAAATAATTATAAGGAACTCATCCATTTGAGTCTCTGTCTCTTGAGATACAGGTTTTTGCCTAGTTCAAGAGTCAGTGTCGTTACTTGCTACTACCTGTTCCACTTTCATTGTAATTGTTTTTTTTCTGAAACCGTTATGTGTATTATTGTATCTATTTGTAATTTGTGGAAATAAATAAATTTTATTATTATATTATTATATTATTGACCTGTAGCCTTATCTGTGGATTTTTTAAAGGATTTCAAAAAAGGAGAAGGTTCTTATTTCGATTGTATTTTTGTGTATGTATTTATGTTACGTGCTACCTCATTTGTGAACCGATATTGATGATTCTTTTTTATTGGAAAGAGGGTACCTCAGTATTGGTTCCATTTAAATTTGAAGAAAATATTCCACCAATAAGAGTGGCAAACTAGGGGATGAAGGGGATTCGCGCACTTTCCGGTAACCGATTGTTAACATTTTAGTTTAAGTTTGTATGTAGGTACATATAATCAAAATTTGAAGTGGTTCCTTTTGTAAAAAAAAGCTGTATAATTGTTAATAAAAAACGTTATAACTATATACAACAATGAATTTCTTTTTTATTTCTGGAAAGAATAACTTTAAGTATTATAAAAAAGGTTTGTTTATATATATCTACACACCTAATATAGATGTTATCATTGACTTACAATTATATGGACGTCGGGTCCGCGCTAAAAAGTGTCCGCACTTGTAAGGCGCTAAAATCGTATACAGAGCGCGACACTCCGCTTTAGTCTTCATTTGTTCTACTGACAGCGCGATACTGCGATGACATTACAATTTAAATTTCGAATAGGTTGACTTGGGACATTTTTTTCGTGGTTTTTGTATTAGACCCGTCGTCCATTTATTTGTAAGTCAATGTTCCTTATCTATACTTTTCATGCCACATACTTATGTATTGACATTTGAGCATAGCGTTTACAATTTTTACAGAAAATATTCCACCTCTAAAGATGTCAAACTGGGGGATGAATACGGATTGCAATAAAACTTGGCAAATATATCTAATTCCACGAACTTTTGAGGTCTATTTTTATATGAAAAAGTTATTGCTATACCCTAACAGGACACCAAAGCTCTAAGTCGAACGTGTATACCTGCTACAGTCCATTTGTTTAGATACTTAAGTAAATGTAAACAATCTTGATACATACACATTTATTGAAACATTCTTTATAAATCAATAGGTATAAAAATAGGCATGCAATTTCATATGAAGCCAAGTATTTGTATTTTGTATTTGTAGGCAAGTAAAAATCATTTTATAAATATATATTTCATTAAATAGACACCTCAATAGATGGTATATTTTTGGAAATGCAATAAATTATTGAGCATTGAGAATTGCGTTACACAATAACTGACATACGGGTCATTATGCTATGGTTACGAAAATTCGCTTCGATTTCATGTCGTTCGATTATGCGGCAATGTAAATTGAACCGAAGTAGGTAGCCAATAAGAAATATTCTTCCTATTTCCCCTACTTACCAGTCTTATCTGAACACCTTCAACAGAAGTCCTCAAGTTGTGTTTTCCCAAGTAAATGGTGAGTGTATTCTTGTTAACAACTCGATTGGAGTTTTTGCGTGTTACACAATGAGCTGCTGTGATAACATGACGACGAGAAACGAGGGTACCACCGCAGATGTACTTGTTGTCGACCGTCTGGAAAAGCGTAAATACATAGTAAGCCTATATTTTTTTAAATATTTTTTCCACCTTATACTTGTATTTACAAGTGTGACAAATGGGTAAAAACTTAGAATAATAACGCATAGAATGATAGTTTCATATCAAATGAACTGTCACAAGTGAGGCAAAAATCAAATTCATGTAGGCTAGTTTTAGTAGTCGGTTAATTTTCGTTTTTAGTGAATATTTATATAAAAATACAAGTTGAAACGCGTTACTTCCTTGTGGAATGTGATGTTAGTATCTATTTTAGTTTGTCTGACGTATTTTTACACTCATTTACCCATTGACTTACAAATAAATGGACGACGGGTCTAATACAAAAACCACGAAAAAAATGTCCCAAGGCAACCTATTCGAAATTTAAATTGTTATGTCATCGCAGTATCGCGCTGTCCGTAGAACAAATGAAGACTAAAGCGGAGTGTCGCGCTCTGTATACGATTTTAGCGCCTTACAAGTGCGGACACTTTTTAGCGCGGACCCGACGTCCATATAATTATAAGTCAATGCATTTACCGCACAATTCGTCATTTTTAGCTAAAAGTCTTGATCTGTTCGCGGTGCAAGTTGACCTTGAACACTGAAGGCCCGCCCGCTCGTGTAGGCCCTTTTGGCGCGCTTCAATTTGCCTCAGCGTGTGCGGACTAGGTTTCTATGCGTTATTGTTCTAAGGGTAAAAGTTTGTATAAGCTATGAAGTTTTGCCTGGTTTTAAATCTAGAGTCGCCTGTAATATTAGTAGCTCAGTTTTTGTCTATCAGGTATGTTGCTTGAGAATAACAATATAATAGTAGTCTATGTGACTGTTATATAACGAAAGGCATTAAAATACGAATGTGGGTTTATGAAACGAGCTGACAGGTGAGTGTCATACTTGATCTGTTCAGGAACCGCATCTTACGACTGGCGAAATGGCGGCAAATAAAAACTTTTCTCACTCATGTCACACAACCCTAGTTTTCATTATTAATTCATAGACAAACTAGAATCAGCCCCAACTATCATATCGTTCGATATCAAGTAACGTGTGAAATTGTTAAAATTGTTTGCTATTGACATTTCATTTCGAATAAAACTTCATCTCGACTGATGTTAGAATTGAGGTTAAATCAAATTGTTTTGTTTTTCAGAGATGTTCGAAATTTGAATGTAATAATTTCATTTTCACAGATAAGAAATTTGTTCTAACAAAACAGTTCACCATTATGCTGGTCACAATTTGCGGTTCTTAAACACAGAGAGTTTATGATATGTGTGTAGATAAAATATTTGTAACAAAAAAATGGCGGGTTTTTGTAGTTACAGTTTTTACAAGAATAATTTTAATTTTTTTTATGACACCAAGCGAAGGGACGAACAAGTCGTGTGCTTGCTGGTAAGCTACATGCTTGTCCATAACAGTTGCAGAGCCACTCAGGGTTTTAAATCGCAAAGATCCGAGGGGCACTGCCACTGCGTCTGTCTCCCTGAGTCATATGTTGACAAGTTCCATGTGCCTGTTATTTCATCATTACAGGCATAGTGGTTTCTGGTTATTAAAAGAAACCTTGTTGTTAGCAGCGAAGCCTAGTGAGCCTCTGCTAACGCTACGCCGCGGCACTGTGTCGCGTTGTCTTATGTCAGTTACCTAGTGAACTAGACAACCACCCAGTTCTGTGACCGCTCACTAGATGGCGCTAATAAAATAATCTATAATAGTGTATATCCAAGGTGTCAGAGGGCGCCTCGCTATAGTATATAAGTCAATTTGTAAATCCAGTGCGCTCTCTATGAACACGATCACCACACGAAATTACAGCTGCGTTTTATTTCCTCGTCTACCAACACCTGTGTTATGTGATGTGCGCCTTAATGGAAATGTTTAAAGTTGTCCCAACACACTACTCTTACCTGGGTTTGATAAAGCGCAATCTGCCAGGGCCACTGCCCTTCCAGGGTTGGTTTCCCATTCACAACCAAAGGGTTAGGGTTGTTGCGCATCACACGACCGCATTCGTCCTGAAAAATAAGACAATGTCGTTTTAAGGCGAGGTATTTGCACCCGAGCCTGGATTTTAGGAGGCAAGGTGTGGGAGGTTACCCCTTGCATCCCGCAATCCGCACACTTAAAATTATTATGAACAAAATAAGAACAGGTGGAGAAAGTTTGACACACATCCGACGTTGACAAGCGCCCGATGGCGACTGACGGGGCATATCGTTATATCGCTGGGTAAATTTCATTTCAATCAATTGGGATAATTGTGAATTTAATAAATATAGGACTTTAGTTGAAAACCAAAATTTAGCAGGTTCTCTGTAGACGTAAAGAAAAATATCTCCATATAAAAATTAAGTGCAAAGTTAAATATTTTATTCTTAAAAAAATCGTTTTAGACTTTTATTTTCATCTGTTTTCTGGATTTTATATGATCGGACTGAGTACATCCTTTAGACAAATTGACTGCCTCTGTGGCCGGACAGTTACCATGGTGATCGCCATGCATGCTCGGGTTCGATTCCCGGGCCGGGATAAATATTTGTATCCATCCATCCATCAACCCATTTATACGTCCCACTGCTGGGCACGGGTCTTTCAGACGAGGGTTTAGGCTATAGTCCGCCACGCTGGTCCAATGCGAGTTGGGGACTTATATTTGTATGGTCTACATTTATTTCTCTCGTGAGTTTGGGTGTAGTTTGTAGTTGTCTATGTGTGTGACCTTGGCACCCCCGATAGAGGGTTTCACCAGTGCTAGGGCTATGAGTGTGTGTGCGTATCGTATATTTTTCGTAAATATATTTGTAAATGGCAATAACGGCTACATGTCAATAATTCTAGGGTTTGCGGATTAAAGTACATAACAATACCTCCAAGGTACACTACGCCAACTAATTGGACCTGTTGTGCTTTTATTTTATTTTTTATTTCTTAATTTTTTTTCATAATATTAGTAAATAATATAATAATATTAGTTTTCTTGGTCTTAGAACGCTGAGTAGCTTTTTTTTCTTTTAAGTTCGGACGTGCATGGAGTACTACTCCTACCTTTGGGACGGGTCTGCTACATACCAACTGGTCACTTTGGATGCAATCAACAACCGAGTCAAGAGGCTTGTAGGTGCCTCAGAATTTTTTTTTGAAGGCGAAGCTGCATAGCCTTGAACACCGCCGTAAAGCTGCCTGCTTATCGGTATTTTACAGGATATATCACGGAGAGTGTGCGATGGAATTACACGGATTAACTCCGCCTTCCCCTTTCAGACGTAACTTCGGGGGACCAGTCCCCCGATAATGGAAGTTACGTCTGGACGTAGGCTTGGGTACCACCTCTATGTTGTGGATATTCCAAAGATTCGCACGAATCGTCACGCTTCCACATGTATATGGCGAACGGCTATGGTGTGGAATTCCCTGCCTGCAGACTTGTTCCCGTTCCCGTAACGTTATAACTTGGACCTTTTCAAGGCGAGAGTGAATAGGCATTATTTAGGTGTGCATGCTCGATCGACCTCATCGTCACTTTCCATCAGGTGAGATGGAGGTCAAATGCGCACTTACATTTCCTAAACAAAAATGTGGTTGTTTACAAAAATAACAGAAACTGGCCAAAAGATAAAGTTGGCGTAGTGTCCATTGGAGGTATCGAAATATAGAATTGAGACGATAAATATTTTGTTGAGGTACTTGGTACACAAGTATAGGATGCGTAATCAACAAAATCTTATAATCTGGACACATATTTGGAATGTATATTTAAAAGTAAGATATGGTTGTTTTGCTGGTCAGTTTTTGCTGCAAAACCGCAAGATGTTGACTTGATATGAAGATGAAGGTCGTTCTAGGTACTACTAGCTTAATACACGCGGCGTGGGAACAAACACTTGTATTCTTTGTTACTATTGTTGTTTTCTGTAATCTGTTGGAAATTACAGAAACATTCCAGTACTGTTTTTTTCTTTTTATCTAGGTGTATACTTCTGTTAAGCACGGTGCGGCGGATCATCGCTTACACAGTAATTTTTTTTTTCAAAAATATACCTATATACTATATTTACAAAAAAAACTAACGTCTTTAAGATTACAATGTTAAAAGCAGTATATAGACAAGATATTAGTACAACTTTTTCTTAAATTTTTACATTATTTACTTTAATATATAAACAACCACATAAATTACCTGGTTTTGGTGAAATTACAGGCACATGGGACTTGGTAACTTATGTCTCAGGGTGACAGGCGCATTGGCAGTGCCCCTCTGATCTTTGTGAGTTAGAGCACCGAGTGGTACCGCAACCGTTATGGGCAGGCGTGTCACTTACCACCTTGGTGGATGACTTCTTCGCCCCGTATATTGCTCTCAAAAAAGGTATTATTTATTTTATGTATTACTTTCCTAAAGTGTAGGCAAGTATACTCTGTTTATTTCAATCTCTGCTAATGACAATAATCATTAAGGAATACTGTGTGTGACGTCAAAATCGTACCAAAAAAAGTGCACGCTACCCGTTTTTTTGGGATATTAGATGTTCTCGGTTTTTCATTTTAAATCTTTCCATGTAACTACTCTCGTGGATTAATTTCATCGAGTATATAACCAGAAATAGAGACCAAATGTCGTTTAATTTGTTTGAAAACTATTCGTAAAACTATTCGAAACGTACTTTTGAGATCGGTTTTTTTTAGTACTCTGTACTGAGATTATTGGTTATATACTAGATGAATAATTTAAACTATTGGCCATAATTGAATGTTTGATTTGAAAAACGAACGACTTCGATCGTCTATTTATTTCGATTAAACATTCAAGTGGGCAGCGAATAATTAGAATCTTTTTATAATAATTCTACCTTTTTTAGAACATAATGTGATTATCAACTTTAAACCTGATGACAGAGATTTATGTAAAAGAGTTACCTCCCTATAAAAAGTGCGGTTAAGTGCTTTGGACGGATAGTGGCGGCTTTACTAATAGTAAAGTGTGGGGCGTACACGGGCGTAGGGTCTTAAGTTGATTTTCCACCGGAGAGACAAGACGAGGCAAGACCAGAATTGAAATTATGTATGGCAAAATTTCAATTATCTTCTAGCGCATCTTCGGTGGAAATGGTCCAGATTGACAAGAATGTGCGAGAGAGGCGAGAATTGAAATATTTCTTAATGTAGGTAATATTGAACCGTATTGCTGACTACATAGAGTATTTATTAAGTCAGCAACGGTTTTTTTTCATCATTTATTAACTCACTAATAGTGTTGTAATCCACATTCAATTTCTTTTCTACAATATTACTTTAAATTATATTAAAGTCTTACTTAAGTAGACAATTATTTTTTATTCCGACGCTATTTTCATGTATTACAAAAATAATAATTAAATACATTTTATTAGACAATAAATTGAGATATGCAGGTAAGGTACAATAAAAGCTTAAATACTAGAAAGTAAAACTAGGATTAAATTAAGGAATAAAATTAGATCTCCGCGGCAAGGTGCCCAACATTGGCAGCGTTCCCTCTTTGCATGGTTATGCTAATGTGTTGGGCAAAGTAGCTACCGGGCCTTGGGTTTCCTAGACAGTCTATAAATTTTTTGGATTAAATTTTGCACAGATGAAGCGCACAGGGACAGAGGTTTCGACTCGCCAAAGGGTGTAAATAGGTAGTCGGAGCCGAGGTCCTGGTACTTATTACTATTATATTTATATATGAAAATAGTGTCAAAATAGAAAATAATTATGTACTTTGGTATCATTTAAAGTAATTTTGTGGGAAAAAAAAATTGTGGGTTATACCACTCTCGCTCTGATAGCCTAAATTCCTCCATTTGCACCCGAATTTCCGATCACTGGCGAAAATAATATAACTGGAAGTAAGTATTTCGTTTTGGTCGCCAACTAATTAGAGGGCGCCAGGGTATTGATTGCACCTGGGCGCTACATAGGCTAGCGCCGGCGCCGGCGCTGCGCTGTGGACAAAATGCAACATTGTGAATAAAAAGCAACGACTTCAATCTATAGACAAGAACATTCACAGCAACTACATGTTCCAAACAACTAGCAATAGTGATAGTGTGTTGTTTTAGTCTTGAATTTCGCCAAACAATATCAGTACCGTAGTACCGTGCACAGGTGTGACCGTCTATACGTATTGGGAATGAGTTAGCCAGGCAGATAATATTGAGTGTTTACCAATGATATTTATCCATAGTTGGGAAATTAACGTAAAGGCCCTAGCAAAGTCGCTATTAGATGCACAATACATTCCATTTTGCTTTGAGTCAGGGGCCTTCCGCTTAGTATTTTCAGTTATTATATTACTAAAAAGAAAAACAAATTAAGTAAAAGAAAAAGTACAGTCGAGTTGTTGAAATTATTGAATTATTCATGTTATGTTATCTATAGATCACGCAGACTAGTTTTTTTTAACAATTTTTAAATGTATACATCGCACATGACAACTAACCTAGTATTATCTCAAAATTGCTTGAGCTTATATTAACATTCCCTATTTAAATTCAAAGCGACAGTGTTGTCCTGTCACTATGAAATTAAATCGTATATAATCTCAGTACAGAGTACTAAAAAAACCGACCTCAAAAGTACGTGGAATTACGTGTATTTGCTAAGTTTTATTGAGATACAATAAAAATAGGTTCTCACTACGAAACTACTCAAAGTATATTGAGAGAAAAACGCCTTGAAGTGAAGAAATAGCAAAATCAAACATTAAAGTAATTGCTCCTAAATTAAAGTTAGGCGCTATTTATAAAAATGAATCTTCATGCGTGAACAGCCACCCTTCGAGGTGGATGATTTTCTTCAAAATGAAATGGGACCACTATGGAAGTACACAAAATCGGTTCACAAATTATCCGGAGCCGGATAGCCGGAGTTATCGCGTAACATATATACAAAAAAAAAAGAAAAAAAGAACGTACAGTCGAGTTGAGAACCTCCTCCTTTTTTGAAGTCGGTTAATGAATGATATACAAATATAGCAAATTTTGGAGATAAATTA